GGCACATCCATGTTCTGCAGGTTTATCTTCGGACTCCAGTTCTCCAGAATTTGTCTTGCCTTTTCTTAGTTGTAGCATTTTTCTCTATGGTAAGAAACCCAGCTGTCACTAACAGGCTTTTCACTTGTTCAGTGCTAGTATATGGTTTCAGAATTGTCAACCCATACCTGTGTAATTACTGACTAGAGCACTTAGATAGTTGTTGTTTGTTTGCCTTTGGCCTTAAATTATCTAGTCAAGGTAATGTTTTTCCACAGATACTTTTAGTTCCCAGCCCGCTTCTGTGATTGTTACTCATTGGTAATACAGCTAGGTTCGTGTGTTTATCCTATTTTGGGTACCCTTGCCACGTCATAGTTGGTTGTAATTATTTCTTTGGAGGTATATGAAAGGTAGCTGAAGCATTACTGTATTGCTAAGAGAGCTGAGAAATGTCACTGAAACCCTATTTGCAGTCCCCTACTTTGCCCACCAGCTCCATACTGATAGCCAAGGTTTTAGTTTCTGGTGTAATCCTTTGCAAGCATCAGCAGCTTTGCTTTTTCTCACTTAACAGTGTACCTGGAAATCATTCCTCAGAGACATTTCATAGAAATTTTCATTTCTGTTTACAGCTGAATAGTGCTCCATGGTGTGGATGTACCACGGTTCACTAACCCTACATAAGCATTCAGGTTGCATCATTTTTGAATTATCAGTGACTGACTTTATGCATGTATATTCTTGTACTGTTACAGACTTGCTCATCTTCAGGAGAGGTTCCGAGAAGTGGGATTGCTGCGTGACTTCATGTGTAGTTTTGTTAGGTGTTACCAAATTGGCTTCCAGAGTCGTACCAATTGACATTTCCTCTAGTGGCGTAGGAGAATGACTGTGTTCCCACAGCCTCACCAACTGAAAGTGTTCTGATACTTTATATTTGTACCATCCTGGTACATGAGATACTTGAGAAATTGTATGTCAGTGTTAACTTGCCTTTATTACAAATTATTCTAAACATTTTTCTTATTTGGGGGGTGGGATCTGCTTATCTTGTTCCTGTTTGAGTGTTGGTTTTCATCTCTCAATTTTTAAGAGTTTTTTTATATTGGGGAATTAGTCCTTTGTTACAGCGATTATCAATGTTTTGCTCCAGTTTGTCTGGTCTTTTGATTTTTTTGTGCATGGTATTCCTGTCTTGCAAAATTTTATTATTACATAATCATTTTTTTATCTTACTGCTTGTGGATTTTGAGTTACATTTAGAAATTTTCTCCCTGCACCAAGGCTACAGAAAAATTCACCAATGTTCTCTTATATGGGTTTTGTTTGGGTTTGGTTTAGTTTATTTGGTTGGTTGGTTTGGACAGACTCACCATGTAGCCCAGGTTGGCTAGAACTTGCAATCCTCCTGCTTCAGCCTCCAGAGTGCTAGGATTACAGGCCTGTGCCACCAGACTCTTAAATTTGCTTTGGAATTTAACTTTTCATATGGATCTAACTTTGATTTTTATAAATGGCTAATTGTCCCCATTTATTAAATACCATTTATTTAAAAGCATGTTTTTACCCCACAAATTTTAGATGGTGCTCAGTACTGCCCAGAAATGTAGCTACAATTCCATTATGTTGGAGTGCTCTCTTTAGGACATCACTATTTCAACTCCTCTCTATTTGGAACTCCATGACTATTTCCTCTCCATAACTGGTCACTTCCTTGCCCATTGAGAAAACAATTTCAGTCAAAGGAGATGTATCGAATCTTCTCACCAGGAAGTCCAGCAGTCTGTCTGCATCTGTGCGTACAAGCTGTGCCTTCCATTCAGGCGCTGTGGATGGACTGGCCATGCCTTATTAAGGTGAGCCCTTGTGTGGGGAATCTCACCCTGTCTGTCCTTCTCAAGGTCTTCCCTTCGGCAGCTGTCCCTTTCTAGAAGCATCACTTTCTCCCATCTGCTCTTTCCCATCAGAAAAGCCATGTGAACCATGGCTTTCTGTTACCCATTTCAAACATAACAACTGAGCCTTCTTTCCACCAACTACCCACTGTTACCTACCTGCCACACTAGGGCTTATATGAGCATCATCGCGTCCTTTCCAGAGTGCTACAGTCCATACTCGATTATTTGCCATAAATGACATAAGCTGAGAAAGACAGGAAGTCACCATTCTACAGGGCTATCAAGACTGAGAAGAAATACAGAGAACTTTGGTGGAGAAGAGGGGACCAGAAGATCTGTCGATGATCAACAAAGAAGTATAGTAGGTGCTGTGTTCTCCCAACAGGTGCGCCATAGGAGCTGGAGGACTTGGGGGCAGGGGGAAGAGCTGGGCTTTCGAAGTGGCAACAAAGAACATGGAGAACCGCCACTTCCTGGACTACTGTACATGGGCTGCCCTTCCGTGCCAGCTACTCAGCTGAGTACTACTCCATCCAAATGGAATTGTGGGGCAAATGCGGCAGGAATCGTGTGGGGCCAGGTTCTGGAGATGTGGCATTTGATGGGCCATGGGAAGCAAGTATTAGAAAGCTGATGAGCTCTGACATTAAGAACAGTCACATCAGTTTCAGAGAGGCTTGGGTGGAGGAGGGAAGACCTTAGGAAGCCATTGTCTCGGTACCCATGAAATCATATTTTTGGTAGTACTAGGGATTGAACCGAGGGACTTCACACCGTGCACATCCCGAGCCCTTTTGCTTTGTTTTGTTCTTGAGATAGGGTCTAAGATGCTAAATTGCCAGGGCTGGGCCTGAACTTGTGATCCTCCTGCCGCAGCCACCCACAAGGCTGGGATGAACAGGTGTGTAGCACTGTGCACAGCTCCTGTGGAATTTCATACTGGTGACAGGACAGGGAGGTCTGGCACCAGTGAAAGGAGTTTTATTATTTACCGTGCCCTCTCATGCCATCAGAATCCTGTTTGGAGCTCATTTAAGTCGCTTCGATCTGTGAATTTATACATTAAACTTAGAAAAATTACAGACATTAATTTTTCCCTGTTTATTCCTGTCTGTATACACATATATTGGACCATGTGATATTCCAAAGCTCTTTATCCTTTTACTCATTTTTCTATTTAATACTCTCTTTTATTTTGGCCAATTTTATTGCAGTTTTTTTTGTTTTTTTTTTTTTGGTGAGGCTGATTCATTAGTTCTGTTAAGTGCATCTTTCTTTATAGGTGTTCTTAATCTCTAGAATTTCTGTTTGGATCTTTTTTATACCTTCCACTTCTTGTTCATACAGCCTAAGCATAAGGAGCTGATTTGCAATAGTTTTAACTACTAATTCTCTCATTTGTGTCATGCTGGGTCTGTTTTGTGGGCACGCTCCCACCCCCATTACGGGTTGTGGTTTGGTTTTGTTTTACATGCCTGGTCATTTTTGGCTGGATACTAGACACAGTGAATTTTGTGTTGGGTGGTAGATTTTGATGCCTCCCTTTCAGTATTTTTTTGCTTTACTTGGGACGTACATAGAATCACACTGATCCTTTATAAGTTCAGTCACCTTCATAAAATCCCCTAAGTACAAAACTGAGACAATCAGCTCTTAAGGTCTCCCCTCCACCAACCAAACCTCCAAAGCTGAGGGTACTGTTCTTCATTTCAGTGAGCATAAGTTCTACTTCTGACTTTCAGTAGCTTCCTGTTGTCCATCCAACAAGCCCAGATCACTTAAATGTGGACCTCTGGGCTTGGACGCAAGATGAAAAGTTCCTCATGCAGGATGGTGATGTGATTTACAGTCTGAACATGTGCATGTTACACTCCCAACCCGGGTTATAAGGACTCCGGTACCACCATCATCGTCGGCATTGTTGTGAGGGAGGGCATCCTGAGGGCTCCTCAGTGGCACCAGGGTACTCAGCTGGCTCTGGGGGCATAGATGAAAACAGGTGCCCTGCACACTGTGCCCCACCTGCATGCTCTGCTCAGCCTGGGGAAGCCAGCTGACCTTCCTCTCTGGAAATTCCTCTCTTCAGGAACGAAGTGGCTAGGGGAGGCTCCTTTACCGACAAAATCAGGAGCTAAATTCAGTTGATTTTACACTGGCAAAAGACAGGTACATGAATGCCGATTCTGCAGCTCCTGGCATTCAGGCAAAGCGTTTGGGTTTCTTACCATTACACTGGCAATGTCCCAGTTAGGTCCAGAGAAACTGGCGTAATTCCTCTCCTGCTGCCTTCCTGAAGAAGCCCTGCCTTGAGAGGCCTGCGTGGCCTCTGCACTCCAGTCGTGCTCCAGCCCTCAGGGCCTCCCCCAGGCCGGCACAGGAGTCGGGCAGGTGGCGGGGACTGAGGGGCAGAGCACAGGTTTCCAAGCCCATCCACCTGGGCCGGGTCCTGGCGGCGCCACGGACCAGCTGCGTGAGCTGATTTCCATCTGCAGAGCGGGGAGAGTCAGTGCCCACCTCCAAGGAGCGTGAGGGCAGGGTGGGTTCCTGTGTAAGCTGTTGAGCCCTGTGGGTTACGTTGCTATTGCTTCCCTCCTACGGCTGCAGCCCATTCTTCCCCAAAGAGATGGCATGACTCCTTGGGCTTTCCTACCGCTGAGCTCAGCCACCTGCCCCTGCCGCCCCCAAGTGGCTCCTCTCTCAATTTCACGACCTTCAGGCCGGAAGACCTGGTACAAAGACACCCTCCTAGAACAAGCCGGGAGTCCAGTCTGTCACAGTGCCGTCCTTAGGCTTCAACTTTAAGCACTGTTTTCCACCAAAAAGATGAATTAGCTCTTGAAAATATCACCCAATGACACCAAATGTAAATTACAGAAGATGAACTCCGTATTTCTCATTCGTACCTCACAAAAGAGTTACAAAGCTTATTAGGCGGGCTGGCTGGCCGGGGTGTGGCTGTCCCTCATCTGCCCATGTAAGCTGGGTACAGCACAAGCCCTGGCTGCTGGGTCCCAGCAGAGCTGGGGACGCCGGCCTCACCCTGGACACACACTTCCGCCTTCTTCACCGCCACCCTCACCTTTTCATTCTCAGACACCACCCAGGTTTAAAAAGCGGGAATCATTTGTCCTTCACAGAAGGAAGTATTTTATTCCACTTGAGAAAAGTAAAAGATACAGATGTATATGCTTTGCCTGGCAAAAGTGAACTTCCCAAGGGACTCGGCCCTCCCTGGTGAAGTTACAGTCCACAAATGTGAGAGAAATCTGAGGCCCCCAGCAACACAGCAGACATTTAGCTGGAAGAACATTCACGTGATCAAAGTGTTTGCTGCACCAAGGTTCACGGGTTCCTTTTATCCGGAAGATCATCCTGGTTTCTTAGGAAAACGTTTCATTGTGAAGATGAGTTAAATGTGCTGAACTGCACTCTAGGCCAGTTTCACACAAACTGAGAGAAAGAAACTGGAAACCTATCTCAAGTGCTCTTCTGCCACCCTCCCCTCCTCTTCCAAGGTGGGATCATTTACATTTATCTTGTGGCCTCAGGTATCGAGTGCCATGCCAGCGCCTCAAGGGCAGCATTTCTGTGCATTTTCCACACACCTTGTGGTGGGAGCTGTCAGCCCCTCCACCCTTCCTGCCCCTCCGCACCCACACGCAGCGGGCTGGTGTCTTGCCAGAGGAGGGCACAGGCAAACCACTGGGCCCACCTCCCCGTGGCAGCCACGGCCACTTTACTGTGATTTGGGTACGTGTCCCCCAAGGCCTGTGACTTAAAAGGCGTGGTCCTCAGCGTGGCATTATTTCGAGGTGGGGCCTAGTGAGAGGAAGTTAGGCTGCTGGGAGCAGTACCCTGGAAGGGGCTCTCGGGACCGCAGGCCTTCCCCTCTCCCTTATTTCCCAGCCCCGAGATGACATCTGCTCCACTACACACTCCCTGCCATGATGTGCTACCTGGCCAGAGGTCCACACCAACAGGCCAGCCGATGGTGGACATAAGCCTCTGAAGCCGTGAGCTGAATAAACCCTTTCTCCTTCTACATCGTTGTCTCAGATTGTATTTAGTTACGGTCACGGAGCGCAAATACTTGCATCCCTCCACGAAGTGTCTGGTCTTCACATTACGAGCTACACTGTGTACAGAGGGTTCCCCCAGGGCAGCGATGGCGAACCTGTTAGAGACCAAGTGCCCAACTGCAAGCCCAGACCCACTTAGGTACTGCAAAGTGCCAGCACCTCAGTTCAACCTCAGTCCTGAGGTTTTAGTTTAGAAAAACCAACCCACACAGTAACATCTTTTGTCTTAAATGAAAAGGAATACGTGTGCTATAGGTTCACCACACTGCGCCGGGGGCATCGGCACCCAAAAAGGCCTGTGTGTGGTGGGAGCAGCAGGAAGCACACTGCGTTTCTGGTGGCAATGCCTACAGCGAGGCAACTGCCCACACCTTGGCGACGGGCGCATCCTTCCTGCCACACTCGAGCCAGCATGAGCCCCCTTAATAGAGAGGGTCTGGGCGCCATGGCTGTGGGGGTGCTCTTCACGGGAAACGAGAAGCCGGCTACACGGACGGGAACTGAGGAGCAGAACTGCCATTTACCCAGCAGGGAAGCACTGTGAGCGGGGTCGCTTCGCTCCTCGAAGTGGCAGTGCTGCAATCACACGAACTGATGGGGCAAAGAGGAAGTAAGACTCCTTACAGCTATAACCTGTCACTTTCTCAGTCAGGGTGACAAACTGTACTACTCCACAGCACCTTTACTGGGGAGACAACACTTCTCAGAGCAGTCCAGGCCCCTCTGGAGCGAGTGCGGACACTAACAGGCAGGTGACCGGACCTGACCCCAGGGACGCCCACACTGCCGCTGCCTTGGCGGAGGCCAGTCCTCTCCCTCCGCACAACCAGCTTAGGGCCCGGGCAGGGCTACTGGGAAGGCACAGCCAGCCAGTCCACTGAGCGTCTCGCAGTGCCAGTGGTCCCCCTCGCGGCACCGCCTTGGATACCGAGAGGCTGAGGGCAGCGGTGTTCGGGACCCCGCAGCCCGGAGTGCGTGAGCATTCCTCGGGGCTGGTGCAGTCAAGAGCACGTGACCTGCAGTCGCGCCTATACATCTCAGGAAGCAAAGCGCAGCACCCAAGGACACAGCCAGGGACAGCTGGTGGACAGCAAGCGCCCGCTGCTGAAGTGGGGCCGCCTCTCCAGAGACGGCGGCCTAGTTCCCTGCCAGGGCGGTCTGGCTGACCTGGCTGTCTGCAGAGGCGAGAGTTGGTAGGGGAATCGCTAATCTGGGGGCTTGCCCTGGAGCCACACTTGATGCCATCAAGCCATAGGGGACAGCAGTTGTATTCAAGCCGTTAGGGGCCTCCCCACTAGCTTGTATTTTAAAATAGACCAAATAAAACACGGGCAGCACAATCCCAACCAGAAGCATGATGAAGACAGCATTCCACCACTGGATCCCACAGTCGGCACCGTCTGCGGATGTCTTCGGGGCTGCCAGCAGCAGCGGCTGATCGGGAGCGTCTACACAGCAGCCCTCGCCCAGGAAGATCTCTGACTGCACCGCACGCTCGATGTTCTGGTCAATGCCCTTAAAGAAGTCTGTCAGCTGGCTGGCCTCGGTGTCAGCACCTGCAGCCACACTGTCGGCGCTGGGAGCTTCCACGAAGGTCACTCTGGTCTCTGAGGACGGGCCTGGAAGGGGCTTCAGTTCTCTGTGGGTTTCTGTGAGGATCCCATGACTTTTCACGGGAATTTTAATAGATTTCAAAGCATATAAGTCTTGTTCTCTGATGAAGTTGTTAACTTTCTTAATATCTGCAACCTAGGGGAGCCACGAAGACACACATCATGAAGTAAGTGAAGCTTCTTAAAACTACACACAGTCACACCCAAGTGGCCCTTACCCTGGCCGGATAAAAGGGCAAGTGCAACCCAGTCAGGCTGAGTTCCCCTACGCTGAGGGACTTTGTTTTTGCTTGGCTTTTACTCAGCCCTAATGGACAGCTTAGTGATCAAATGTGCCTATAGATTTACAAGTCGGAACAATTTCAGGTCCGTTTTGGAAACTGTTTCAAGTGCAACTGCAACAAAATGCTTTTAGGTGAAACCCCATCGGGACACTAGAATGAACTCAGTAGCCCTTGCTGGTGCTTTTAACTTTGAGGCAACAGTGCCCCCATCTGCCCGACTTCCTTCTCAAGCCAGAACCCAACTGAACTGCTGCAGGGAAAACCTCAAAGCCTCCACCACTTCTAAGGACATCAGGAGCCAGTCCACCCGTAATACCCTTTGGCAGATGTGCCCTCAGCTGGTACCATATTTTCTTTCTCAAAAGGGCTATATGATGTGTATTAACTTTGACTAAGGTTAATTCACCTTGAAGAGATCACATTTCTTTCATTACCCTCATCAATCAAGTTGAAGATTATGGACAGATTTTCAATTGTCAGCTTAGGCAAAACGTTACATGTATTGCCCAGTTTATCTGTGTTTAAGATAAGGTTGAGGATAAACTCCTTTCTTAAACCTTAAGATTTACTAAGAGTGGGGCAAATGTAAGTCAAAAAGTAAACGCCCCCTCAAGCTAATGTTTGAAATTTTTCCAGAATTACTGTAGGTGAACTATAAAGTTTTAATTTGCAAGTGAACTTAAACTCAAATATAAATACAGCCCACAGACCCTCAGACAGAGCTTCATTCACATCAATCATGCCTGCTATTGTAATTATTTAGCAGCTGTTTTCATCATTTCATTGAATTGAGGTGACATTTTTCATTGTTTTCTGAACCTAACGCAGGAAATCCTTGAGATGTCTTGGTCTTTGACTTAAACTAAAAGCAAATATATTTATTTCAAATGAGCGAAACTGATCAGTTGCTGGAGGCATTATACATTCTCGGTAGGTTTATTAGGTATCACCATACCAACAGGCCTATGCATACGTATGTACCGTTTGTTTTTCAGCCCATGTTCTATAAATCACAGGAAGTCAACCATAAAAATCAGTACAATTTAAAGATGCTGTGTGTCCCTAGAAACTGGCCTGCACTTCCCCAGAAAGACACAAATACCCCACATGATCGTTTCAGCGATTAGACCTTGATAGACAAGTGACAAATACTTCACAAGGTTTTTTTTTTTTTAAATACTAAGTAGCTTACACAGCCTTAGCGAAAGCTGTATCTACTGCACCGTGTTAGCAAAATGAAATAATTTCACTGCAGGAGAAAATGAGGCAATTCTATAAATACTTTCCTACTTACTTTGCCACTGTTAATCACTCTGAATGCTAAAAACATAATTAAAGAGAAAAACAGAGTTATATAGATACACAGCACAAAGACCAGATCATGCAGTTCTAAGAGAGAAGGTAAATGTCTACCACGTAAGCACAGCCCAAAATGTCGGAAAAATTAAAGGTAGCGAGAAAAGCAAACACACCAAAGAAATCTTGGACACATTCTTCCTGGCATATTCAACCCTCTAAGGTCTTACATAAAATGTGCTCAAAAGAAGAAAAAAGGTCTCTGAACTCCTGTGTTTTCTGCTCTGCAGAAAGGAAATGCACCATTCTGGGGGCTTCCGGCTCAACAGAGGCACCTCCTGCTGCTGCAGCAGGGCTCTGGTCACCTATGGGGTCAGGAAGGGCACCAAGGCCTGGCCTGTACGAGTCCTTCCGTGCTGCTGAAGGCGGGAATGGAGCGCGGGGGCGTCTTACTTTGCAGCCGTACTGCAGAGCCAGCTTGTTGAGGTTGTCTTCCTGGGCCAGCTCCCGCTGCAGCAGCACCACATGCCCTGGTCTGGGCCGGTGAGCCTGGTGGGCACTGTTCTGGAGCTCTCTGCCCCGCGGGCGCAGAACCACATGCTGCTGCTGGGTCTCTTCCTCAGAGGAGTCCTCCGAGTCCCCACTGCCACTTCTGAACATGTAAACGCGACTGCTCGGGGTCCTACAGACAGCGGCTGGGCCTCGGAAGGTCTTGGTTAACGCCTCCTTCTGCCTCATCTTCCCTGAAAATCAAACCCCAGTGTTAATCCCCGCGCAGGACACGCACCCCCTGGCCTCATGAAACGTTAGCAATTACTCCTTTCTCTAATTACTGCAAATACTCAACAAATACCATCAGCACAAAAAACGGGAATGTCCTTACGCTGAGCTGGAAGGAGGCAGGCAGAATAAAAACACTTTTTTTTTACATTGTATACGTTTCAGCAGAAAAAAAGAGATCCTCTGTGCTCCCCTTATCCCTCACCCATCGGCGGGGATCTTCGCAGTGAGGGCTAAGGACTGTTCTGTTTCCTTACATGAGGAAAATTGAGAACCTCTGTACAAAAATCTCATTGGCTCCTTTATGCACTCCACGGTATCTTCACTAAGGCACCCGATACTCTGCACACATGCTTAGTGTGTGAGACTAACGTGCTGTTACTCTGACACTGGTTGATGTGTTTCACACGCGGGGCGAGGGAGGGAGAAAAAACGCCTGTGGACCTGAGAGATTCGCCCCTTTCTCGGAGGTCACTGCCTTCACTACACCCCCGTGTCCGTTTCCATCTACTGCCAAAGCCACGAAGCATCCCTCTCCCTCGCCAAGTAGCTCGAATGAGATTCTAGAAATGGAATCTGAAACCTGGGACTAACGGCATCGAAAAGTCGGCAAGGAGCGCGATCGAGCCGCAGGGCGCGGTGCGGGCCGGTCAGCAAGGCTGGGCCCCGGCCCGGGCCCTGGG